ATTATATTCCTATGTATATAAAATTACGTAAAATGACGCAACTTACCAAAGAAGAATAAATAAAAAAAACAAGGGACAAGAGATGAGTGAGAGCTAATTCATCTGACCCATGAATTTGTAAGCTCTGAATACTTTGAACAAACATGAAGACAGCTATTTCTTCACTACACCTTTCATTTAACTGAAAAAAAATGTAGATAAAGAATTATATCGGAAGACCTGTCTAAAGCAATCTTTCAATTTTTGGGTGAAATAACAGGGGAAGAGGAAATCCGCCGGTTTAAAATTCAAATCGTTTAGAACGAACATTTTCGACGACATTCTTGCAAACAGGTATTATTCGTACCACTGAAGTTGCATCGCGATAAGTTAAGCATAAAAACATGCACTCAATCATTTTTCCTATTACTTCCTGAAAAATATTACTAAACACAGTTAATTCTCTTTGTAAGTTTATTGAAGGAAATAACATCCAAAATATAAATCGCAACCAATCAAAAGACCAATATAAGAATATTGCATGTGTGAAGTTATATTTAAACTTAAAAAAATTTTATTTTCAGTAGTGACACTGGAATTATGTCGATAAAAATTTTTTGAACAATGATAAATGAACAACGGGATAACGGACCTCGTCTTTCAAAAAACAGTTTTTTATGCAAGATCCTTCCTCGATTTTGTCACCTGTAATAATAAACATTAATGGGCAACAAGATATATGAACATACTTTAAATAAAAAAACTTCGCGAGAATTAATTAACAGTACAATCTTTCATAAATTTCTTACTTGCATCCGAAATACCAAATAAATCCCGCAAAAGAATGGAACATTCCCGCGTCAAAATACAAGCCATATGTTCAGCTAAGAGTTGTTCTTGAGAAGGTTCACCATCTTCTGCTACAAATAGCACCGATGAAAAAAAATGTATTTGAACTCAAGATATATTCAAGATGTCAGAAAATCAATGGCTAATAAGTAGAAAGACATTGAAAAGACTAACCGCATTCCGAAGCTGCAAGTTGCTTCCATCTATTCTGTAGACGCTTGCTTAATTCTTCAATCACTACCAGCAGCAGCTGCCTAACACAGTGATATGCAACTTCCGGACATGAGCATAAAAATGGTTTCCTTGAAGAAATTTATTATTATTAAATTTCTGCAATGTTCTTCTATTAAAAGTATTCAAAAATTAAATCCATAGTTTCCGACAGAAGAATTTAATTGTGATGTTTAATTTTAATTAATGTAGCATACCAAGTTCTTCTTAACCAAAATCTTAATCGAAAATCTGGAATAAAGGTGAGATGGCAAGAAAGAAACAGTGCCCAACTGCTGATCTCTGGATCAGAAAATAGCTGCGTGGCTGCTTTACTTGCAAAATATCCAATTAAAGTTTGTCTGAAAAGAAATCTCACGTCATATGAAGTTTCTTAATTGCCATCATTGTTCACAGCTATAATCATTGTTCATAGCCATAAGCAGATGAATAGAAATAAAAACTTGCACTTTTTCTGTAACATCAAAAATAAAGGCACGAGCATGAGTTCCTGGATCATCGGATAAAATTCGAGCTGTTGATGATATGCATGATTCAATTGCTGAAAACTGCATGTGAAGACTGGAGATAAAAAATTAACAAAAAGAGAAAATAAAGTAATCAACTGCACATAAACTAAGGAGTACTAAAAATTCAAATTTGCAAACAAATTATGAGATAAACCAATATAAGGCGTCTCACAGCACTTGGTAAAAGAAGAAACAACGTCTCACGTGTCAATAACTGTTGTCTTTCACTGATGGTAATATCAAAAATGGATAAAGAGCCATATGACATATGTATAACACTTGCATTTTTTGGATCGTATAACGAGTTTAAACGTCTGAAATGCAAAACAATCACAGAAATTTTTTAATGTTTTCGTAAACATAAAAATCACAGAAGGTATATAAAGTAGCAAATAATACGAAAACTAAATTCGAAAAACAGACACTTCAAGGAAGTAGCCAAAGAATTCATTTAAAAAATGCTCTAGCTTTACCCACCATCAGCTTAATCGAACTTGTTTCTCTTAAAAAGAACGGTGAAAATTTCTGTTATTTTGAAATTATATCCTAATATTGATACAAATTAATGATTTAAGAGAGGTGATACAGTGACAACGAGAACATAACGAGCTCAAAGCTCAATGTTCTGCTTCAATAACTCATGGAAGATGAATGTCATCAGCAATTTGAAATAACATTCTCTAGTTTATTTCTGCAAACTGCAACTACCCAATTTCATATTTCTACGACATAGACCATATTCAGGTGGTTTTGAACGAAGGGGAAACTCTTTTTCCTAAAATTTAATGTCCCATCATTTATAATTATTTACAAATTTTAGTTCTGAAGTTCATGTAGCAGACCAATGAGAAATCTTTGGAAAAATCACTTCACTAATAAAAATACGGTCGGTAAAACCGGTCGGAAAGCACTGTACGCGGGATGAAAGGGAGGAGCAACCGATTGAGTCTGCGACATTATTCCCTCGAGAGTCGATAAATGTGCTCGGAACTGTAACTTAAAAATTAAAATTGGAAAAATTAAAAGGAGAAAACTCTATTAAACATAACAAGGAGCAAATCTGAGTGAAAGTGACCTTTCGACGACTGAGCATGAAAGACGATTCTGTTGCTTCTGCAATATTTACTGGTGCAGGAGAAGTGAAACCAAAAAATGTCAAGAATGCTAGATCACTTTGCAGAACTCTGCAATTGACATTCTGCATTCCCATTAAGATTAAAAAATTAAGAAATTTCGTTTCAAGAAAGTTGAAACAAAAATAAGGATGGAATAAATTTTCAACATTGAGAAAGTTTCAGATCTGCTAAAACTTACTCCTGAATTTCAGTTTGAAGAAAATAACATAAAGAATCGGATACAGCATTAGAAAGGAAATTATTTTGTGTTGCAAAATCGATACAAAGATTGCTTAATGCAGCAATTACTTGCATACAAGAAGCTAACTGCATCAATGATAAAAAGGGACGTATTGAAATACAAAATTCCAGAATGGTTCCCGCTTGTTCCTGCAACAATCAAATAAAAAACTGAAAACGATGATAATGTGGGAGTACTCTGAACAGAAATAAAGCAGTTGAAAAATTTTAGTTACTGATTAGCAGCATAAATTAAATCAAAAAATAACCTTGATGTCGTCAGCAAAAATAGTGACTATCCTTAACAATAAAGCTATGCAATGTCGCTTGACAGATTTGTCATCAATATCATCATCCACATTATCGGTTAAAGGTCGGCGTAACTGAAAGCGTTCAGTGAATGGTTTTGATAATGAAATTTCTTCATTACGCAGCTCACTAGCATTTTTGCTCTCTTTACTCATTAATTTCAAACATTTTATCAATGAGATGGCTGCTTTTACATTAAACATATTAAACCATTAAATGCCAAGTAATATTGATTGCCATGAAAGATTACCTGAGACAGGAGAGAAATAAGTAATTGCGGGTACTTTCCAATAGTAACCAACAAGGTCGAGAGCATAGACAGCAAGTTGTTCATTAATAGTGGTGAGGTACAATTTGCCAATAATGCCAGCATTCCATCAAATAGTGAACTTAATCTTTTGTAATTGTGCTAAAAAAAATTAATTAATGAAGTTTCGATATTTGAAACAATTAAGCAAAGAAATGGAGCACAAAAAATTGGAAGTTAATTAACATACAGGCTTTAATAGTTTTTTGTTGTGACATTCCCATAAAACAAGCTTCGAAAACCGCTGCATTGCATCCCATTCGCTTTCTCTTACTAAATTTTTTATGATAAGTCTTCCGTAATAACTGGAATTAATGTTAATCTGAATACATATGGCGTACAACACCACTTACATTCAGAATTGCTCTAATGTTTTAATAACATCGACAGAAATAATAAATCCACCTAGATCTGAATGGTCCAAACATCGACTGATAAACCATTTGTCCACAATACTGATCAGCATGTTGATATGCTTTTCAGAGCAACAAGAACGTATAACTTTCAAACAACGATCGCGAAATTCTGAAAAATTTTACTATGTTGCTTGCTCTTTATATTTTCTGCTGTACAGCAGCTACTGATTTTGAAATATTAAAGATTTAAGCAATCAGAATATATAATTATTGATCTCTCACGAATAAAGGCATGGGAGAAGTCATTGTCATCATCATAATCATGTTGTGAAAAGTGACAAGTTTCATGGTTATTCTGGGATGGATAGCCGACTTTTTCCAACAAAGTGGGTGTGGAAATAATCACGCGGCAAATACATTCATTGAACATTTCGTCTTCTCCAATTTTCTCGTGATTTATTAAAGAAGCAAATACAGCGACCGCCTCGTTTCGTAAATACTGCAACAAACGCTGAAGTTTTTGCCTATTTATAAAGTGCATTTTCAGATCACGAAGCGAATATTTGAGCACTCCTTAAAACCTTATATCTAATGTTTTAGAACCGGCAGTGTATCACGTCTGCATTATTACAAGACAAGAAAAAAGGATCAAAACGACACAATTACCGTGAAATGATTTATTAAAAATATTAACTTACTACCGACGGGTGTGTAAAGAACGCTTCAATGGCAGCTAAATACATGCCAAAATTAGGCGGTCGTTGAGTCCAAACATCCGCCAAATGAATTCCTAATGCAGATAAAACATTGCAAAGGGTTTTTAAAAAACGATAATGTTGCACGTTTTCAGGACCAACACTTGCTGCTTGGCTAAAAAATTTAAGAAAAATATATATTTAACTTATTTTTTTTAAACCTATGAATAATAATTAACAGAAAAATGTCTTCGCCTGCAGCTATCAAGTATACAAAGGACGTCGAATTTAAATGAGTATTATATGCAATACCGTATTGCAATTATTTTAAATTTGGAAAATTTTGATTCATGAGCACATTCGCTCTCAAACTGACACACATTTGTATTTTTTTCCAATGAAATCCTCAAATACATATCCTTAAAACTGCATAATATTATATGATATAAGTCTTTACCAGAGCAAAAGCTCCTTGCATACCCGATAAAAAGTTACGCACACTTCAAGGAATTATTGGATAAACATACTTTGCAGCTCTAAGAATTGACCGCATTGGAATGTCACCGAAAAGAGCAAAGACAACAAGATTTTCTTCATTTTTTGCTTGCTTTCGTGAAGCAATTCTCCACAAACATTTCGCTGCCTGAAAAAGTTCTCATATTCTACATATTTATCTTTTATCAAAATACTGTTGAAAGCAACTAGTGGAAATATTCTTTGATTAAACTTATACATTAACATTTTTATGCTATTTTTCTTGGCAAAACAAAACAACATTTAAAATTTAATGTGGAAACATTTACGAACCACTTCATATATGCAGTATTGAGGTGTTTCAAGAAATGAGCAAACTGTATATAACAAATGATTAATATAAGGCTCTAGAACGTTAGCTGGCAGCCATTCAACAAGTTCACCAAACAAATCCAAAGCGGAACGGACTAAGGAATAAGATTCATCTGAAAAAAAAAAACTCAATCTTAAGAATATCCCTTTCAATGAAATAATCTGAACTGAAACTCATCATCCCTGAATGGCTATTTTCCCTTTAACTAATGAATAATTCACGTAAAAATAACAATTCCAAATGATTTACAGCAAATTTCAACTTGAATCATAAAGTAATCACAAAATTACTAAATACCTGTTGATTCAACAGAACATTCACGCAACGCATAGCGGATGAAATGCAGTATGCGTGGTATATGGGACGCAATAGCATTATTAAGATCTTTTCTTCTGGAAATGTTTTCAACAGTTACCAAAGTGATTACGTTTTCGACCAAAAGCTGCAGTGTGATAAATGGTATTTGAGCATGAGTTGTCGATACAGAAGCAATCTAAAAATTAAATTCAATTACAGCACACAATGACCAGACTATGACGAAAAACACGTTATTTTAGGCTATTTTAATAAACTTTTTAAAGTCCATTTACAGTTAAAATCTGATAGTGGAAAGAAAGAAACTCAGAATGAATTCCTTGTGAGTAACAAAAAACTAACATCTTCAAGTTGATCAAAAAGTTCCGGCCAATTTTGGGGCCATTCATGCTCAATCATCAAAACGACACATCGCGCTGCAGCACATCTCAGCTCATTCCGCATCATGGCCTCCGATTTCATTGCAGCAAAACAGGTATATCGAATAGTAAGGCGTGATTGATCATTTATTTCTAACCATTTAAATCTGCGAAAATTTGAAAATTAAATGCAATTTTCACTTCAATTCAAAACTTGATAGATCCCTGATTTGATATAATTCAGCATCAAACCCGAGGAAGGTTTAAAATTTTGCTTTCAAAAGATTAAAATGTGGGTAGTCATCATAAAAACTTTACTTAATGATATGTTCAAGAAAATTCCAGCCTGTTCGAGCGAGGATGAGATCCTTCTTCGAGATCAATGCATAGGCAATCTGTTCAACATCATTAGGGGACAATTCTTTTACTGACTCGATAACCTTGAATAATAATAAAGATATAAATAATTAGATGACTTGGAATAATCGTTTTCAGATTGTCGAATTGCACTACTGTGAACAATCCTTCTGTTGCAGGTGTAAGTTCAGTTCTGATAATTTATAGAAATTATGTACGAGAATTACATGCGCTCGCTCATTATTGATTTATTCGATTAAACTATTTAGCGAAACAATAAAAAAAAAAAAAGTTCCTCATTTTTTAGAATTCTGAAAAAGTCTGTGTTCACGAATAATTGAATGTATTGCCATTTTTCTCTCTCAATAAAAATCACCAAGACTTTTTATTCTTCCCTAGTTAAAAATCACAACAAAACTAGACCATAACCACAGGGCCACAAAGCCACAAGGGAATTCATTTTTACAATATTACAGGGAACTCATTTTAATTCATGATTTGATGCCTTTTTGCTTTACCATTCACCTTTTTTTGCTTTCTAACTAAAAATTATTTAAAAAGTATTTTAAGCTTTTATCCCTATGCATTCATATATTACAACTATGAAAACTACCAATTATGATGTCTAGTTATTTCAGTGTTATTAATGGATTTCTTTTACATTTCTAATGAAGTTATTTTGATTCTCAATTCTAGTATGTGGGTATAATATTCTAGTATATGGGTATAAAAAATACTAGTACATCGATAGTGTATAGGAGTAATGTATACATCGTACATGGAACAAAGTGTGTATGTGTGCTAGTAACAGTGAATATTCACTCACCTGAGATGCAGCTGATCGCTGTTCGTTACTGACTGCAGTATTGTAAATGGCCTCTAACGCATTTCCAATTACATTCAACCTATCCTCCATGACTATACACACATCAGCTAAAATAATCTACAAAATTAAAATCCACCCACCTCTTTCCTAATCATTCCTTCAACAGTCCGTAACGCAAAAGGCGCAAAGATTGCAACTCATTCCAATAATAATACGCCCCTATAAAAAACTGATTCACCAACCGTTCCTGACAAAATTTGAATGCAATAATTGGAATTGGACTACATATGAGAACAACACTTCCAACCGATCAGCCGATAGAGCCAACCTTTTCGTTTGAAATTAAATTCCATATCCCTCCCGAATTCGAACATTGATATTAGATTTTTTTGAATCAAAACATTAACCAAAAAATAAGGAAGGCCACTTAAATCTTGAATCTTAATTTCCGCCTCTAGTTTATTCCCGCTGCTCCTTCCTACTCTTTTCACTTACAACAGCACTGTTGCCCTCCGCATTGCAACCGACGGCTTAGTCCCGAATTAGGAATTCAGTCGATGATAGAGTCAAACTTTTATTTTAAATTAAACTCTAGTTATATATTGATGATGTTTCATGAGGAAAAACCACGAGTGGAGAAAACTTGGAGGAGAAAATATTTCGAATTCAAATAAGTTAATTAATATAACCACAGCAACGACTACAACGGATAATCAGGATTTTAATATCCATAATCTTTAGCAGTCACTGATATAATAAGTAACAATACTATTGGTACATTCTGCAAGCAACTATCGTAGTATATGCATATTGATTACAAATCATTCCAAGCCATATTTCGTAATCATATGAAACAAAAACAAAAATTCATAGCAAAATAAATAATTTTTCTCGAAATAAAATGATAATGACAAATTGCAATCAGTGTGAGAAATAAGGGGGGCATTCTTCAACACGTAAATATGGGGAAAAGTATATTAATTCTATTAAAATAATCTGACTTAACATAGAACAAATAATTAAAAAGATTAAACTCAAGAACCCTACTACAAAAGAATAAAAAAGGGAGTAAAATCAGTTTAAACAAATTTTACTAAATCCAACATGAAAATTTAAAGTTGTAGATTTCAAAGAAATCTAAATCCCAATGTAAAGTCATGTAAGTTGCTTCAGAAGCGCTGAAGCGATAGATATGAATCAAATAATCGAAATAACTGCTATTTATAAATAATTCTATAATTCTGGCACTATAAAATTTACACTTATCAAAACTTCATGACAATAAGCAAGTCGCATATTCCCTTTTTCTAACCATTCTACTTAAAAGCGTAAATTGATTTAGACATAAATATTGCATTCCGATCCGAAGATTAGCACACAAAAATTATCGAAATGCAAAATTAGGCGATATATACAATGCATCTCGCCGAGCGCAGAAGGTGAAAATGTGAATTTCCCAGCTAAAAACCACTACAACTATTTTGTTAAATTATTCGCGATAAAAGAAAACAAATTTTAAAATTCTTCCTCACCTTCTTTCATTTCGTTAATATGTGTAAGAAATTAAATGTGATCTTTTCAAAAAAATAAAATGATAGAAGTTGAAAGTGAAAATGAAGAATAAGGTCAGATAAAAGAATACAAAAGTATCTATCGTTACTCTAAATAAATTTGACATTTTTGGATAAAATGATCAAAAACAGAAAAAACAAATCACAATAAATACATTATGGTTAACCACACAATTAGTTATTGTTAGTGGTTCTCGTTTTGAACTCAAAATGCCTTACATCAATGTCCATCTTGAACCACTAAACCATTTGTGAATAACAGAAGAAAAAACAAAATGCAGAATATTTTTTTAAAAAAGTATTGAGAACTTTAAAAAAGCATTTATCCATTCAAGCTATTGCGTAAAAAATATAATAAAAAAGAAAAATCAAATCCTTTTTTATCTATGGAAAAATATTGAAAGCTATAAAAAAAGTAAATATAAGTAAATACGCAATTTTAATGTTGATCAGTTTTGTGAAGCTGAACTTAGCACAGCACGTTGAGTTTCAATACGTCCTTTTTGCATTGACATGACGATTCGCGAGACATCTTCTACTAGCATCGTCCGCGGTGAATCACTTCGCTGTTCATCCAACCGATCTCTTTGACTCCGAATTACCATCTCGTATAAACTACCAGCATCTTCAGATCCTGACTGTTCTACCTGTGATGGTGCCGATGCTGACTGCTCCATACTGCAATTTTATTAATCAATATAATCCTTGTAATACAATTTTTTTCAAAAATCTCGTAACGTCAATTTGATAGCAGAGAATAAGGAGCACAAAAAATAAAGAATTGAAGTTTACCTGTCATTATTATCTTTCACATCGTCGTTAATTGACAAAGATACTGTTTCTGACTGGACATTCAGATGCGCCCGTTGTTCTTCCATTCGACGACCTTGCAAACTAGCTATTAAATCAAGCATTCCTTCGGCACCATCTAGAAATACACAGATAGCATAGATACGAACTTATCCAAGTATTGTGTCTTATAAAATTTAGCGAAAAATTCCAAATTGCCTAAAATTTTGATTTTCCTGAATACTTCGCATACTTTTACTTATTAAAACCAAAAGGAAGTACTTTCACAGCAAAGCTTTTTCATTCCTGATTCTCTTATATAAAAAGCAGAATTTGTATAGGAAATCAAAAATAAAAATTTCGAAAAAGGTGCTGCAAAATCAAAAAAATAGACGAATGATTTTACCAGGACGGAACTAAAAATGCATGCCGAAAAAATTTGAAGCTGAACATAAATGAGGGAAAAACAGAATTAGAGCAAAAATGACCAACTTTTTTGTCCGGAAGAGATAGAATCCGATGAAACAACTTGATTACAACGACCTCGATTTCGAGGTGGTGCAACCGGAATTCGAAATCCCGACGATTCGGTTGTTTGCGACACACCCGACTGCACAAATACACCATCAGTGCTATCCACGGCGTTTTGCGCTATTGTGTCGGAGAAAGAACGTTGCAAGCGTGATGTTGTTGTGCATGTCGCAGGTGATTTTTTAAGCAAATGATCACTACTGTCGGCAAGTAGTTGTTGCTTCATCGAAGAAAGAGCAATTCGAGGTGTCGAAGTTGTAGGAGGAAAAAATGATGCAGACATTAGTAAACTTTGTCGTCTTGCTGCTTTTCTAACACGTCCAAAAAGTGCTGATAATCGATGTCTCCGTCCAAAACGTGTTTCGGCTTCTAACAAAAATATAAAATTCAGAGAGGTATATAAATCACACTGCAAAACAAAAAGACACGGCAACCTCACGAGAAAGTGCATAAAATGTAAAAATATTTTTTTTTCTTTACATTGAATCATATTGAAACAAAGAAAAATCTTATCTAATCACAACCACAACAACGGATGCATAACAAAATGAGCGCAAGATCAGAAGCACAAATAAGTTAAAGATGGAAAGAAGGACAGAAAACCGATTACTACAAAAAATCATTTGATTCAGTTTGTCAGTAAGATGATATTTCCCATTCTTACACCTATTTGCTGACTTATATCCACATTCCTCTTTTGAAGAACTTTTGCAAAGAATATGCAACATAAAAGTTTAGTTAATCTTCCAAACTTAGCAGGAGATAAATTTCAATCAAATAACTGAAAAGAATACAAGTTCGACCTCAACATTTCTTATTTTGTTCGATTAGAATTGTTAAATTTTTTTTTCGATTTGAGATGCTGTGAATCTTTCGATTCGAGGCCGTTATTTTTACTATTTAAAGAGTTCAGATAAGAAGGAGTTTAACCTGAATTGCAAGCGATTGTATCTGATTGTCGAGTGACATTTTTCGAATGATTCGTTAAATCGCTCAGTATGATAGGATCACAGCGTTGATCATTGAGCCGTTTTGACTGTAAGCGCGAAACCATTTCAAAGAAATCATCGTTATAATTGGTAAATCGAACCGGCTAAAAAATCTTTACTACTAAAGTAAAACAACTTTTACAAAACAAAAAATATGCATATAAAGATGATCTTAAGGAAAGATCAAAACAACTTGAAAGTTAAACCAATAACATCTCTAGAGAAAACGGAAAAATGTCAATCAGATAAAATTTTTGATTGCAACAACCGAACTTCAATCGATTCAAATTAAACTTTAGTCAAGAAAATAAGCAATGATTTTAGCCACTTTAATAAATTATTATTAAAATTGCTTTATAGCTAATAAATTAAATACTGAACTTATTTAACTAAATGTTTAAGCCAATATTTTCTCTAATAACGTTTGATTTTTTCTAATGAAAGTTAGAGAAAATCAAACGTCATTAGAGAAAAAAAATACATATTATCAGTTGATGAATCGAAAATCTGTTAATCAAATATATTTTAAAAAATTTGAATTTTAAAACTACAATTTATATATAAATGAAATAATCATTCCTGGCTTGCATGTTTAATAGAATATGGGTGAAGAGAGAAATACGTGCTGTGTTATGAAACAGAAACCAGTGTGAGACGAGAACAGTTAGAAATCGAGCGACCATAACTTTTAGTCATAACAGTTACAAAAACTCCTTATAAATTATCCGAAGGACATTTCTCGCACGAACAAAACAGATGCACGCTTATAATCCATATCTGGATCACACGGATCTTACCCCGTTAAAGTATATAAAGGAAGCAAATATTTATGAAATTGATCCACATATGGACTTTTGAGTGCTGTACAGAAACAGCTTTTAATTGAATTCAATAAATGGCATTAATGCTTATATAATAAGTTGGAAACATTTCTAGTTCTTGCGATATATTATACGTAGCCCAATTCTACTTCCTATAACTTAATCTATTCTAACCTAAAGACTTAAATCTCATTCTCTATTTTAATATTATTTATCAAAAAGTACTTGTTTATCGATAGCTGTAGTCGTTGCATCATCATTAAGTAACTGATGTATGGAGCCAGAATTCAGTGTGGAATCACAGAATAATTTTTTAAATGATGCATTCAAGTCGGATGCATTGTGTGGTTCAGGATCACCGGATGAATCCATTTCTAAATCGCTAATTTCCTCTACAGGCCATTTTTTTATCGATTTTAACAAATCTTTCATCGAACTGCGCACATTTTCCTCATTCCCTTGATCGCCCATCTGCAACTATCATCGAAAATTTATCATTTGATTTTAATTCTACATCACGAATGACTATCTTCTTTTTCATTAGATTTGTCAGTTATTGTATAAGTATTAGGAGCCAAATTTATTTATTTATAATTATGTAAAATATTATTCCTAACTGCAGTTGTTTTCAGGAATGAAATAAGTTCAGTGTGTCATTTATATCACAGTATAACATGGAAAATGAAAACTTTACTATTGATGTGAAGATACGAAGAAAAATAAATCAGCACGAAGTCCACCATTCAGATATAAAACGTAACCCATATAATAATCAATTGAAGAAATAAATTTATTACATACTACTTTTAATAAAACAAAAAACAACTCTAATATATGCAAAAAATCCAAATTTATCGTCTTATCTCACATATATATTATCGCTCTGAAATCATAATCCCTGAAGTGGAAATCAAATTACTCTTCTATACCGTTCAAAAAGAAAGACCACGGCACATGTTGAAAGATTTTTAAAACAAAAAAGTTTTGGAAACAGTAAAAAGTCAATCTTCCATATGAATCCCAAAAATATCAACTGTTTTAACTTCACGAAATATAAGCTTTTTCTTTCTGAAATTGCTAGCTAAATAATTTCACTTTCGAAGCAATAAAAATTATGGGTCTTTTTTCCGAATTATTAATAATATAAATTCATTGGTAAAAAGAATAATTAAGCTGCTATCCTCTTATTTGCAAGGTTTTAGAAGAAATGCTGCTAAATGAGGTTGTCATCATTGTCTATAAGTTAATTAAAATCTATGAAAGTAAAAAATAAATTGTCAAAGCAAATGAAAATCTTCAGTGCTATTATACTGCTTTCCTAGTCTATTAAAGTAAAGCTTAGCAATAAAAATAAACATAATACTAAGAAAAATAACAAACACACTTTTAAAGAAATCTGGTTTAACAAAGAAAAGAGAGGGAAAGGGAAGAGTTAACTATGACTTAACAGAACGGAGCTTGAACCATGGGCAAATAAAAGAATAAATATGAAATTCTTACTCATTATTTATTGGAAAGCATATCACTAAAAATTAGAAATGTGTCCCAAAATATTTATTTTATATACTAACCATTATTGTTATATGCACATTTGTTAAAACCCCTGAACACTCACCGTATAGGATGGGAATTTTCTCTTTATGACTATTAAACATCACACACGAATTTTTAACAAGTAAACATGGAGAAATGTTTAAAAACTTTGAAAATGATTTAAATGTTCAACGCACCGAGAAAAGCTTGTCAAAAAATGTTGATAAAAAGCCACTCAATTTACCTCTCTCATTATCGCTTCGATGCTTATAGATCAACACTTGATGATTTCATAACACATAATTTCAGGAAAAACAAACAGATATTGTGACTTTTCTTATGTCCATTTCCCAACAATTCTCTTACCTAAGTTTCACTACAGCTGTTTTATCAAATCGAATAGCTGATGAGATAAAAAATGATTGTTTTCGTAGCTACCTAAATATTAAGCAAGTGTTATGATCGTACTGTCTAGACGAAGAGCGAGAAGTATAGCAACGAAACTAATAAAAAGCATCAGATTAAGAAAATATTAAAAAGTTCGAAAAGAACAAGCTAATTAGTTGAATTGAAAAGTCTGATGAAAAAATTAATATGACATATGAAGAGAACCAAATACAATATTTCAATTTTCTTCACACAAAATTCTAATGTAGATATTGGAGGATATTTTTTAAAAAATTTCTAGCATGAAACATTATTTCGTAGGAATTTTTAAATAAACAAAATCTTTTTAATAAAATTAAGTTGGAAAATACGCTCACTAAGAAAAGGTTTCGAAAAAATATACCAAAAAGATATATATTGTTTACAATCTTGCAGATCCATCCCATAAATTTCACAGAGTATTTTTTCTTTTGTAATAAAAGCCAATAAATAAATAAAAAACCGATATCAATTGTGGAATTTTAAACTATATTATATCTAAACGGTTACCATGCTTTCACTCTAACTGATATGCAAAGCTTATTTGATTAAGCAATAAACTGTGAAAAAATTCAACAAAATTTAAAATACACTGATAAATAACAGAAAAGAATAACCTCAACTGATAAATGTCCTTGAAGTACATAGAAATAAATAGCCCTTCTCACCATTCCCTGTTTTCGAAAATCTGTTGCCAGCGCTGCACATGCACGTAGTTCTGCAGTACGATCACCCAAATTCCTAGCAAGCTTTAAATATCGAGTGTGATATTCTACTGCTGAAATGCAACAGCAGTCAGTCAACTACTAGTTAACATTAAAACTCTTCATGAAAGAAAAGGCAAATCTTAACTCTAAACAAATGAAATTTCTTTTTATTTCACTTTTGTATGACACTAACCAACTTCGTTGGGAACAGATATCTATTTGTCGGTACATCTTTTTAAAATAAATAACAAACCTGTTACATGATCGCCACATATAGCAGCACCATTACCGACATTGAAACAGCACTGTGCTTCTGTCATTTCATCATGCAATTCCGTTGCAATTGACAGCGCTAAGCTAAAGAATTTTTATTATAATAACGGCAATAAAAGACCACTCAAATATCGCAGCTATAACTTCAATGCAAATTAAAATACGACAAATGCAAAACAATCTCAATTCACAAGGCTCCTATTTAATATTAAGCTGCTTCCAGTAATATTAGAGGAAAACAACAGCAAATAACAAAAATATTGTTAAAAAAAATACCGATAATATTCTAAGGCTTTCGCCGTTTCTGAAAGAAAAATATGCGCATTTCCAAGATTTGTATACGCACGTCGCATTGCTGCACGATCGCCATATTGCCGAGCAATGTTCAGTCGCTAAAAGACATTTATATTCAATAAAGGTAGAGCTAAAATGTTTCAGTTTCATCAAACAATTTTAGAATAAGTAATTCATAAACTTGTTTTAAATTATGAAATTAGCAATAACCAGGTTATTAAATACGATTCCGTTTAGACAAATGTTTAATATTTATTGTATTTGTGTTAACTATTACGAAAGAGACTTGCATGGATGACGAAATTTTTTTTTGCACGCAGACAATTATAGATATTAATATCCTTTTCGTCAATGACAAACTTACTTTATTGTGATAATAAACAGCAGTTGCATAATCACCCAGCATATAATAGCTGTTACCAATATTGCCATATGTTCTACCACATGCAACGAAGTCTTTCATATTTTCGACTATATGAAGATTTTGTCTGAAATGAGAAGAACTATTCGGTATTATTAGCTTTGCTTGCAATACAATTAAAAAATGTGCATGTATTTTTGATTTCGTCAAGAACTCTGTTTTTTTGACAAAACAGATATAACACAAGCAAGATTTCCATATCTGGAATTAGCTACATATGAGATTAAACCACCAAAATGTCCGTAATAAAGTGTGTAGTAAATGATACGTCTATGAATAATTAACAAGTATACTTTTACAGCATAATATTTCATTGAAATCCATATATCAGTTTTAAACCAATATGAGAAATATTTACAAATAATAATTTATAGCAGCTTGGAGTTGCGAGGTTGCTGTCATATCGCTAGCTGTAAGAAGCCCAGATTTATCAAGAGGTTCCGATGTATGGATTATTGTTTTCGCTCGACAATGATAAACAGATGCCACATTATAAAGAGCTCCAGCCTCACACTCCTGCAAACGATTTTGGTAAATACAGAGCAAATCAG